TTCCTCCCCCCTCGTCCCCCTCTTTCCGCCCTGCTCGCTCCGCCCTAGCCGAAACTACGCCATATGAATCAAAAACGGAAAAGACTCTCACACATACCTTCCCTCGAGAGTCGAAGCCAATAACATCAAGACAGACGGAACTAGTTTTGCCACTTCGAACCTCGTGCGGAAACCTTCAAAGTGATCATAAATATTGAAACTGAGCATGTAAAACTCTTTGCTGCTCCCACTAATCAACAAAACACTCACAAGAAGGAAAGAAAATTCACCTAAAAAGATTTAGACGAGTTTTACCATTTCCGTCATCAAGCACACCCTGAGTCATCACACCACATAATGTGGATTTGCCTACATCAACACCGCCTAGAACGGCCAACCTGCAAAGGAAAGGTTGTTTCAAGAACTCTTGACTTGCAGTAAAGTTGATTATTACCTCAACTCTATGAACTGTTGACTTTCAGGAACCTTGCGGACCAGCACTTCAACTACTCTTCGTCGTGATGTGGTGTTACGAGGGGTTACGTCTCTTTCGGTCAACTTAAATCAAATTGAAATATAAAGCAGCCTTAAACACAGAAATTGAAGGCATGATATCTTCAGATTCAATAGTATAGCGAACTGTTTCATTCCAGACTTGTTAGTCAGCCTAACATAGACTTTAATGCATAAAATGAGCAACAATGACGACAAACACACTGACTTTCACTTGCCTTCCTTACTTCATGACTAATGATTTACAAAATTGTCACTTTCAAATCAGAAAATCAGAAGGGACCGAATCTAGAAAGTATGATAACACAACTCACAATAACCATGCTGGCACCAAGAGCATTTGCCATAGTTCTAAGAGTGGTGAGTGAAGCTTCCAATTCTGCATCAGACAGGCCGCTCATCTGGCCTCCGTCCTCCACACCGACCTATACAGGGTAAAAGCATAATGAATCTTTCAACAAATAAACACCTTACAGGATAACCCACCTCATAGATAGCTTCGCCTTGTCCTTCTCGCAAACGCCATTTCATTTGTGTGATCAAATGTTGAAGACGTGATGAAGATGGGTTAACTAATTTGACCTAAAAACACTCAACACCACATATAATACTACTCCAAAAAGCGGAACAACTTACTTTATATTCGATGTTACCGAGTTCCATCTCAGGTGGTAAACAATTTTCTGCATTTGAGACATCTTTGTCAGTATGAAGCAACGCGCACATGTCATCGTCAACAGATTTTCTGTAACAAGCATTCTATAGATCCGCATATGTGAGATGTTTCTAACAAGGGAACGATACTTAGTGTCCGTGGCCTTTTAAGATGAAATGTATACCATGACGCTCTCTTCAAACGCTGATTCCTAATCTGACTTCCGTTTCTGCTAATCGTTTCTCTGTTAGGAGCTATTAAGGATTTTCGCGCCAACTTTGGTCACCCAAGAGAAGTAGGATAGGAATACTAAAATGGTAACATGTTAACATGTATTCATTTTCGTTCATTTCCGTTTTATAGGCACTTTTTGGAATAAATGTAAGAAACACCCATGCAAAATGACTCCTCGTTGAATTTTCAAAGGATAAGGACATGTGCCTCGAGGGAGGCAATGCAAAATGAAAACACAAAAGGATCGGAACCTAAACCTACATCAACTTGTGAGGCTAGCCATTAGCCATTACAATACAGCGTACCGGCTGTATTGGTGTTCCTATCATATCTCG